TTTTCTTGCCTCTGTATATATTAGAGTCTAGACCTCAGCCAGAGTGAAGCCGCAATTATTTTAAGTTCTTTCTTAATTTTTGTGTGTGCACATATGTATGTTAAAGCGTTAAAAATTTGGAGAGCATGCTTGGAAACAGTTTTAATCCCTTTGAAGGTAGAAGTTGCTATATAAAAACATACAGTTATCATAAATTTCCCCCCATATGTTTCCCCCCATGTATACTTTAGCCCTTTAATGTGTTTTATAAATTAAAGAGGAGCTGCCTTCTACAGTCTAGCACACAGCCTGGGATTCATGCGCTCTACCTGGCGTTAGGGTAAAATCAGTTAATACTTATTTATAGGGTAGGTAGGAAAAGATTTTTTCTCACTATGTAAACGTCCTAGAATTCCTTAATTGTAGCAGATTAAGCACAACAAATGCGCATGTCTATTTGCCCACATGGAATTGCATATATCCTATGCATAGTTGTGATTAAAGCACAGTTTCAAAGGAGCGTGCTGACAACTTTTTTTTTTTTTTTGAGGTAGCACAAGTTATACCTGCTTATTCAGTTTTTACATTGATTTATACCTTACATCAACCATATGCCGGAGCAGAATATGTCCGTTAAAGCCTGCTTTCCTTCACCTTTCTCCAAATCCAGTATAACCTTAATCTCTTGTCACTTTTTTTACAGAACATGCAATACTGCAGACAGCACCGGGTCATATAGAACAGGTAAGAGGAGAAAAGGCTCCACTCTTTACCATCAAAAGTAATATACAAGTCCCTTTTACTCATTCTTCAGTTCAGGCTTTTGAGAAGCCTTTGCACATTCTTAAAGCTGACATGTATTTGACTTTCATGTAGTGAAAAGATTGTGCAAATCCCCAGGCTATGGTAAATCTCATTGCACAGTTTCTGTTTTTCAGTGGGAGGCATGGAAAAGAACGTTTTAAAATTTTCCTTGATTTTCATATATTTTGCATGAAAACGATCAAACATGTGAAAAAAGAGATATTGTAGGAGAGCCTGAATTTAATGAAAGCATTTCCCATGCTTGATTTTAAATCCTGGGAGACTTGGTTCAAATTCACAGAACTATTTCATACAGCAGTTTTTCATCCAGAATTAAAACTCCATCGAAGGACATATGAATTTTAAAACCAGCTTTTATATTGATGAAAACAAAAGAAATTACATGAGGGATTTTTAAGAAGGACATTTTATAATATACTTTCGTAATGAGGAAAACATAAGCACACAGATGATGTGAGGAAGTTAATAGATAATTCAGGACGTCGTTAATTTAATAAAGTGGCTACAATTTGAGCACCAAGACTTAACCAGGCTTTAAGCACAGTCATTTTAGTTAAAAAAGGCAGGATGCCAATAAACTATGTGTCCGCTAACAAGTATTTCAACAAAAAGGAAAGAAAGGCTTTCTTGCTAGAGTGAAAGGCTTCACAGTATTTCAGCGAAGGCATGCGCAGAAGACAACCCAAACAGTTTAACTGCCTAGGGGTCTTGGTCTCCCACGTTTGCAGTAGGACAGCCAATCTTATCTGTAGTTGTACATAAACCAGAGTAACCTTCGAAGTCAAATCACTGTCAGTCAGGAGAAAAAAACGTATCACCAGATACCAAAACAACTTCAAGCTGGACGAACATCACTTACTTAGACTGGTACTCTCTCCTGCAAACCAGTGTGGGTGACAGGCATGGCTGTCTAACCACAGCCCTCCATCCCAGCCGCTGCTGGAAGAGGCGTTCATTCCTTCCTGCACATGTCGGGTCTTTCCGATGTGGTATGTCACCACGGTCCCCCCTTGGGGAAGCCCCTAACCGGTAACAGAACTCACCTGTGGTCTTCAGCAGGTTCATATGGCCAGTTATTTTTCCAGGTGGAGATAAGCGGGCCGAGGTCAGTTCCACCCTCATCAATTATGAATTTACAGCTCTCCTTGGCTTCTGCTACTGAAGACCAAATAAGAGTTCTCGTGCCAAAAATACAACACAGATGCTGCTAGAAGCTACTGCGAAGGGTGGGAAAGACCAAAGGATCTGTGACAAATGCAGGGCCCAGCCAAGAGCAGGTCTAGGAACAAGCAGATATTGTCATACCCTCTTCCACTTTGGGATAAACATAGGTGTACAGCAAGTGCCCAGGCTCTGTTTCGAGCTATCGTAGAGCGGCAGGACCCGCCCCCCCCCCCAAGCAAAGCTTTAGGAAGGACCTGGCCAGTTGTGCCTATTGCTCCTCACTGCTTTGGCAGCTGCTCATTTTAGACCTATTACACTGAAGTTTTGTACTAATGGCTTCCAGTGCTCATGCTCTCTGCTGCCTTACAGAGGTTTTTCTGGCTCCAAATTTCTCTCTTTGGTGGGTTAGGAAGGTTTTCAGATTTTTCACTGACATTAGAAATGAAGCACAGCTAAATTCTGCTAAACATACATGAAGCTGTATTTGGTTTTGTAGAAAATATTTGTTGGTAGGTTACAACCCACAAATTTTGTTTTAACATTGTTTGGTTATATTTTTCTGATCTTGTCCAATGTTTTAAAGGAGCAATGCTTTAATAGCAGGCTTGAGATAGCCACAGCCGACTTCCTTTCTTGATTTCTGTGCTGGGGTTATCCCAAGGCTTTTTTCAGCTGTAAGCTGTGTTCATAGCATGGAAACATTTGAGAACTGCTGATTTAATAAAACCACACACTGCTGACCAAAAAAATGAGAACCTAATTTGGAAATGATGTTAAGCTCTGAAATGCCAAGTTGAGACTTCAAAATAGGCATGTTTCAGTTATGCATTTTAGTTATTTTCAAATAATAATCAGACCGTTATGGAAAAAATTTACAATTTTTCATTGTATAGTCAAATCAAATCAGCTTAACCATTTGAACAGTGTGTTCAGTAATATCGGATTATTTCTTAATTAAAGTTATAGAATCATAGCAGCAACATTTTATAAAAAAAAATGGAGATGTTTGTTTTAGGGAGAAGAGGCATTTTTCAGTGAAAATCCCTTTCATTTAAAGCTCTTAGCTGGTTCTGGGTACCCATCTAGATTTATATAGCAATAGCACGAAGAGAAACAGACAGACTTTCACCTCCAAGTCTTGATGTCCTCCTCGGTTATCAAGAAGCATGCCGCAGAGAAAGGCGCTTCCGCTCCTGCAGCCCTGTTGCTTTACAAGACAGGGTACAGGCTCAGTCTGCAAGACGGCCACCACAAACTCTGCTCGTTTCCACTTCGGTTTGGAAATACCGTACAGTGTCTACTTAAATCTTCAAGGCTTTATATGGCTTGCCCTTAGCTGTACAAGAGATTGCCTCTCTGATATCACTGGTGCTGGCAGCTGTAATCAGCTGATGGCACTGTAATATCAGTCTCTCGGTCTGGCAGATACACGCAGCAGGGAGAGCACCTCCATTTTGCCACCAAATTCACACACCCAATGGACCAGTAGGAAGCAAGTGGACATGGGGCTTTTCTACCCTACAGGGGGTCCCCATGTCCCAGACAGGGTGTTCACATCCAACCCATACCCACTTTCCCTGCTAAAATGGAATTCACTTGCATGGCACATCTTCAGATCAACCTGGGATAGAGGAAATCAAACCACATTCTGAAATCTAGCGTATGTGTACGACCTTTTCTACTGGAACACTTGTGGTGGGTTTTAGAAAGGCAAAATACAAAGCAGCACAATGCAATGCACAATTCCCCCTCATTCTGACGGCGACAGCAGACAGACATATACTGAGATCCAAAAAACGCTGACCTTCTGTTTGCTAACAACTGTCTAATCCCATTTATCCTACCTTTTTCCTCTGGAAATGTTTTCCTCAGGACAAACCCTTTGTTAAAGGATTTACCTCCTCCAGATGCCGCAGCCCCACTCCCGCCCCATGCACAGATGGAAACACAGCTGAAAGAAGAAGACAGAAAATCTTAGAGCCACATTCAAATGTTTTGTGGGGACCTATGTCGGAAGGATGGTTCCGGCCTCTGCACGCTTTTTCCTCATTCACCTTTTAGAGTAACTGCCTGTCTTTGGCACCGTGACAAGACCATCCCACAGCCACTAAAACAATATAAGACAGAGTTTTGGTAAGCAGAATCTAAAAACGTGAGTATAGATGTGCACACAGACACAAGTGTGTGCGCCCTTACGCCACTCTCTAATGGGATCCCATACCATGAGCATGACACGGTTGACTCAGAAAACAGGGGAGAAGAAGGTGCAGGGGTAAGAGGAAAGCGAAGAGTTACGTCCGCGGCCATGTAGACCTCCCATGAAGCCCTTCCTGCTCAGAACGAAGATGGAGAAGCTTGTCAGACCCCAGCTGGGCCATGCTTCCACGGCAGCCAGAACTGGTGACGAAGATACTGGCAAATTAAAGACAATTTGAATCTCACTTTGGTCCTAATAACCAAAATTTTGCCTGCCACAAATTCTCACAATAAAATCTACATCTAAATTTGCTTGGAACCATTTAAGATGAAACAGAACAGTTTCCTCACAGCTACAGTGTGCTTCATGGATGAGGAAGAAAACCATCCTTTGAGGCATTGCAGGCTTACACTCGTGCCTCTCTGCTGGGCTCATAGTTTATGCAACAGCAAAAGGGGTCAGAACCAGACACACCATTTTTAGAGTAATTCACTTTTTCTTTCTTTTTTCTTACATTAAATAAAATGTAAATTCCTGACATGGCACAGCCCATCATTCCACTTTTTCTACTTTTATACCAGGACTTTTTATGCTGAAACGGCAAAAACTTTGCAACAAGCAAAAAGTCCAGGAGAGCGTACGTGTCCTGGGGGATTAGACCAATGTTTAACACAGTATCACACTACCAAAGACTTAACAGATGGTATTAAAACTAAAAATAATTACGTGTATCAGTTTCAGAAATGTATTAATAAAAGTAAAACTAAAAACACTGGATTTAATTCAGAATATAAATTCACATCAAGACACTTAGGAAAAAAAAAAAAGAACTCACCAGATGCAGGAAGCTGAAAGCGGCTGTTGAAAATAAACGTTACGGAAGTCAAATACTCTAAGTGAGACGGGAAGAAAAAAAGAGTGGAGTTCTGTGTTCTTGGTTTTCAGATGGATTTTGTTTAAATCAGATTAGAACAATTATATTATAGGAAAAAACAAAAAAAGAGAAGTAACCAGCTAGCACTACACGTACAGGCCAAATAAGTCCTAGAGTCTGGGGCTGGTTCATCCAGAGGCAGCAGTGGCAGCAGACCCAGATACAGTGTGACGAGAAATAGCTGAGTGGTTTGGGTTAAGTCAGCTTCCTGGTGACAGCTCCTCAGCGCTGCCTGTGCAGGTTTTGTTGTGGGCTGGTGTATGAGTGTGTATGTCTTATTCTCTTTGGTGCCTACAGGAGCGCACGTAAAACCTGCTCTTTGAAGACGGGGGAGGGGGACAAAACCTCCAGGCTTCAGAAAGTTTTCTCTTTGCAATTTGCTGTTCCTACAGCTGCCTCCTCTCTGCTATAGCGGCTAATAGCAGGGTGCCATCCAGCAAATCCTGTACTCGGAGAAGAGGGACAGCTCAACCACTGACCAGCAGTACTATATATGATTGACACTCCAACAGCATGAATTAGACTTAGGATATTTTTATGCAGGCTGGAATGTGGCCCTGCCTCAAAGAAAAAGAGAGTGTGTGTACTTAGCGGCCCTTGCGCAAAACGCAGGGGAGGCACTTTTACACGGATTTGAATCTGGTTTATAGGGATTTCTCTTAATTCAGTGAGGATTCCCCAGTATCACCGGTTAGGATTAACCTGTGTCATTTTACTTGCATACATGTCCGGTGTCCTGTGCCCTCTTCTCCCAGCACGACGAGGCTGAGCAGGAGCTGCAATGATGGGCCACAAGCATGGGGATCCCTGACTATCCCAGTGTGGACAACCCGGAGCAGGCCAGGCTCTCATCACTTCTAGGTTTCCTGCCACAACACTGGAAGCAAAGCTCTGAGGATAGCTTAGGGATTTCAAGTGCCTGGCTCTGCGGCAGAGTCCCAGTTATGTCTATACTCTGGGATCTACGAGCATTTACCAGCTCCCAGCCCCCTGCATGGTCCTTCCTGACTCAGGCATACCCAGCCTCCCTCACCCCGATGTGGAGGAGGATTCCTCCATCCTTTCCACCCTTTTCATCAGAAGGAAACCTGGCTGCACAGATTAGGAGGGAGCCACCAGATGGTATAAGAGGTTGCCAACTTTGGATGGTCAGGCAATCAGGATTGAGGGGAGGGCGCTTCTGTCCCGTACTCCTGAAGGAGCCTGGCACAGCAGGACTGCCCCAAAGCCGAAGGCAAGGGGCCCCAAAGCTGACCAGTGCAGCAGGCTGGCTGCTCCTCAGCCAGAGACACAGCGCTGTCTTCCCTGGCCAACTCAGAACCTGCCTTGGGGTCAGAGACATGGAACTCGAGGCATTCTCAGAAAATACTTTGGGTTCAACAAAGCCGTTTCTGGCCATCTCTAGCCATGAAGTTGTAGGAATGGACTGCCTGACCCAGATCTAAAGCCATCCGTTTTGTGTTCATTGCAGCGTGGGAACTCTCTGAAGAGAGCTAACACACAGAGAGACTGACATAAACTTTATGCCAGTGTAACGCATTCCAAGTTAAGCTAGATTGCTTCCAAGAATGATTAAGAACAAAAGAATAAATTACAAGATACAGCAAATAGAAAACAAGAAGATAATTTATGAGCAGATGAAAAACAGTTTGTGCCAAAAATATAAATAGCTGCAGAAAGAATATTACCTGTGTAAATACTATGTAAATACGCTGTAATGTAAACCTGCTGAGATGAAGTTCCCAAAACAGTGCAGCACAGGTAGGGTGAGAAATCCATGAAGGCAAGGAAAAGTGGCTCACAAAAGACCTTTTTGGAATATTCTCTTCCTAAAGGCTTCAATCTTCTTTTCGGTTTGACACAAGATTTTGGAAAAGGGGCCTCAGTGGATTATTGACAGCTCATGGCACTTAATTTTCGCAGAAAATACCTATTCTTCTGTTTTTAACCAGGTTTGTGCTTCTCAGTACTAGTGCATGCAATCAGGCAATAAGTTTCCATTGCGATCACGGTGAAGAAAGTCAGACACCCAAACACTTTGAAATGTTTCCACCAGAACACTGTGGCTTATCAGAGTAGAGAAATAAATGCCATTCACAAATTATATTGATACCAGTGTCTTAGGTGACACCCATTTTAGGCCTGCTACAGATTGCAGCTGCTTCAAAATGCAACTATTTTTTTCTGTTTTGTACTGAAGGCTAATCCAGATGTGAGACCATCTGGGTAAGCAGTTTGCATTCTGGATAAAGAGCTCATCCATCTGTAGAATACTTCATAAACAACTTTTCAAACAACTGAGCTCTGTGAAAAAGCAGGACTTCAGAATAAGAGACAAGTTCTTACATATCTTAATTTCACCACGTTCCCCTCCACTGTACTTTCTGGAGAAAGTTCACCCGATAGGTTGTTGCTAGAAGAGTCTGAAAGTCAGATTTTCTTTTCCTTTCTTCATTCTTCTTTTTTTTCCCTTTTGAGTAAAACTTGGAGCCTTTTGCTAGGAGTGCATATGCTAGACATAGCACTTCCTCCATGACTTTACTTCCTAGTGGCCTGGAACGCCACCAAGAGATCCCCGGCTTCCCACTCTTTGCACAGCGCGTAGGGAATTCCCGAGTTAGGTGCAACATTGCAGCCTAACTGTCATATTTCCTTTGAGTCTTGCTTTTTTTTGTCTTTCTTATTGCAGTTTTTCTGCCCCTTTTCACCTGTTCATGCTGTGTGATAGAGGGGAAAATCTGGCTGTGAAAGAATATTGTGAATGCATTCAAAAATAGCTTGCTTCTCCTTTTTTAAAAACTCAATATGAGTCATATTATCTTAGGCTTTCAGAAACAAACACTTTGTTGTGGAAAATATTTGTGGGGGTGGAATGGAGGTTTGTAAATTATTTTTGCATTGAAAAAACTGTTGATAGCAAAAAATAAAGTCTCAAACCTCAAGTAACTAAGGGCTTATGAAAAATCATGTAAATAACATTATCCCGGGTTAAGGTCACATTTGTCTTTTAATCTGCTGATTTCTATCTTATTTGGAGAAGCCGGCAGACCGTAGGTGTTGGGAAGGGCTGTGAGATCAAGGAAGGAAGATTTTCCTATCACCCCTGCCTGATTTCCTTTCTGTTCTCAGGTTCTCTCAGCTCTGATTTTGGACAGCCTCAAATAATACTGTGTGTGCAATACTGAGGAAGTAAACCATGACACTCTTAATACCCTTCGTATTTAGCCCTACAAGCCTTTCTTACAACCTAGGTGACCATTATATTTTGCAAAATAAAGACATTTGCTTCTTGTGTCTAGACACCTTACCGAAGTTATAAATGTACGTGGGACGTGCTTATTTGGTAAAGAAAGAGCTTAAACTTTATTGCTAACAGTATCAAAGGAAGGCAGGAGAAATGCGTGTGGTCAAGATGCCAGCTCTGGGCTGGGAAGACCGGGATGCAGCTATTCGCTTGTCCCCAGGCCCTGTGCAGTACAGGGGAGGGTGCCTCGACCCATTTAACCCTGGGGGCGAGAGTACTCCCCTTCCAGGGGTGCTATGAGGAAAAATACCTCAAGGCAAGGGGGACTTCCTCCAGGCATGGAGGAGACCATCACAAAAGTCTCCACAATAGACAAGGCACAGCAATTTCAGTGAAATTGTTCATTGTAAGAGAGCTACATCTGAAAGGGGAAACGAAAAGGCAGCTTCACAAGCAGCTTCTACATTGATTTTTGGTGAAACAGCTCACGCTTTTAATTATTTTGCCTCAGTGAATTTATGCTTTGGTTCCTATGCAAGCTAATGCAGTGCTTGGACATCCCTAGGTTTGGTACTGACGCAGTTTGAAGCACGTGGAGAGAAAACTGATCCCTGGACCCGGAGCGAGGCTGGTTGGCCTACACCTCACCTGGGGAGAACTAGATGTCTTCAGAGGGTGACTCCAGACCCCCCAGGGCACCCACGCTGGAGCTGCCTAACAGGAAATCATCCTAAATGCAGGAGTAAGTCTGAAATCTCACCCCTTCCCCGCAGACCCCCTAACTCCCCGCCAAGGTCAGCAGCCAAGCAAGCACGCTGCCAAGCAAGTTTTGAAGTTCACGGAGGAAACTTCCAAAGCCAAGCTCACGCCAGGGACGCAGGCCGGCACGGTCAGCCGGGCCCCACCGCCCACCTGCTCGCCGCAGCAGTGATCATGAGGGCAACTCAAGGGCACTGCTGCCTCCTCGGCCCGGCTGCACCCCTGGGGAGGTGGGGGGGCCGGCCGAAATGCTGCCTGCCTCCCGCGGGGAGTCCTGGCCCCACTGGGAAACTGGAGCCAGCAAAGGGGATGGGAGCACTCCGTGAGGGGCAGCTGCTGGCCAAATTTGGGTTTGGCTATGAAATTTGGGTGTGGGCATCTAAATTACTATTCATCCTCTTTCAACAACTAATCTAGCCCTGTTGCATGAACTAAACCCATATACCTACATAGCTAAGATGGGCAGAGGTGTCTCTACTCTTTGAGAGCTCAGATTTCTGCGTGTTTAACTAGAGAATTAGAGATACTCTTTAAGTATCTTTCCCTCCTGTGCACTGGTTACCAATTAGCTATTTCTCTGGGATATGGCTCTTGAAATCTGGTTGTCAGTAATGTATACTGTGTGATAAAATTAACATTTATACATTTTGCTTTGATATCTTGTAAACAGAAAGAGTGAGATAACTTCCCACTACAAATCCTTCCATGACGACAAGGAGGATCTGGTGGTCAGAGCTATCTATGGGAAGTGCTTTTCTTTATAGTAATGTGAATATCTACTTCCTATTTCTTAAAAGGGAAGTGTGTTTAGGTACTCTACTGAGGGTTACTCAACCCCCCCCCCCGCCCCGGTCTCTATTCCTGAAACATTCCAGCACGAGAGCAATAACATTACTGAAAACAAATTTAATCTTTCTCCTCAACGTTAGGTATGTGTCCTGATTCCCAAAATAACCATCAGCTACCTTAAGGGAATAAGATTTGTTCCACCTGTGACGCACGCCTTTAGAAGGTTTTTCCTACTGTTTTTTTTGATTGGGCCCCTTGGAGATATTCAGACCCCTCAAGGAAAGCAGAGTAGATATGCGGCATGAGAGCACAGCAGCCACACAACTTGTGCTGTCCGC